GGAGCTCACGGAGCACAGACACCTCGCGCTCTGGGGCGGAGCCGTGGGCGTGAGGCGGGGGCGGGGCACACAGCCAGGACACACCCCCACCACGCCCCCTTACTAGAAGTGAGTAAACTGTCGGGGAAACACTCTTCCGCAGTCTAAGCGCCTAAAGTAGTACCCAGCCCGGGCACCCCTGGGTACCCACCGCGCACTGTCAGGCGCGCAGGCCCGGAGCGGGCCGTTCCCACAACGCAGCTGTAGGTCCCAGCGTCCGAGGAATTGCAGCGCCGCAGCAGCAGAAGGCGGCGCGCTCCGAGAGCCTGGAGTCGGAGCCGCGGGCTCGGAGAGAGTGCCTGCCCATCCTAATTAGGGCGGGGATTTGTAGTCGGTTAGACTGAGCCCAGCAAGACTCTGGAGGCCACGGCCCTGGAAGGTGGCGGTGTCCTCTGTGCATGCCAACCTGTCTAGAGGCTCACCAGGGGTTTCGTTGCGTTCCCCTGGTAGGGTTGGACTGATCCTCATCTTCCCTTTCTGATCACTTCTCGGAGAAGGTGCCATCCCTTCGGACTTTAGAGCCAAGAATTGACACCAATAGCACCGAAAGCCCAGAGCTCTGCATGGACCACTCCTCCCCCCACGAGTATGGATTCTAAAATTGGTTTCCAATGTAGGCTCTACTCCCTTTTGTCTGCCCTTGAGCAACTATGTTCATCCCACAGAACATATGTTATCCAATATAATAACCAATCTTAGATGACCAATCTGGTGATAATAAGGTGTACCTATCCAGGGTGTTGTAAGGACTAGAGAGGATTAAATGTGCCATCAATCTTAGCCTAGTGCCAGTCTCACAGGGCCAGTGAGTGTTAGCGTCTTGTCCGAATTATTGTTATGTCCATAGTTCTGCACTGGGGCCATGCTCTGACCTTCTCCCATACAACGTCAGCCAAAGTCTGGGAAAGCTCGCACTCGAACGTCGCTGTGTCACCTTCAGTCACTTCTAGGTCCTGTGGCCCCCGCACAATAGTCACTGGGACTTCTGAGAGTGGGTAAGGGAGGACAACGCCAAGAGGTGGGGGTAAGTGAGGAATGAAGGCCCAGTTTTCACAACACACAGGCACGGGAGGTCAGTGGCAGTCACATGCAGGTGGTCAGTGGAGGCCACTAGTGAGTGGAAGACATTGGACGACAGGAAGTTCAAAGGAGATGCTGGAGAATGGGAGACGCAGCAGGGCCAGAGAGCCAATGGCACAGGAGTGACTAGCTGGGAGTCACATTGTGAGGTAGTCAGCAGGGGACATGCTGGGGTTGGAGGGGAAATGGCAGAAGGTGAAGAGACGCCACAGAGATCACTCATAGATGCATGGACAGCAGTGGTCACATAGCTGAAATGGATAGTTGAAGACACTGGGCTTGGGGGTACATAAAAGCTCCACAGAGCACTGAGGTGATTAACCACACCTTTAAGGTTAATCATTAAGGCTGGAAAAATGGGGGCCCTCAGGCAGAATTAGTGCACTCTTTGGCGGCTCTTCAGTGGAAGACCTACAAGGGGCACACTTAGGCAGCAAAAGTCAGAATAAGAGTAGTCAGTGGGGCCATGTCCAGGTAGGCAGACTAGGGATTGTTCAAGGTAGCACGGTTTGCAGGGTTACAGGCATCTGGGCAGTCAGTCTTGTGCTCAAAGTGGTCACTGTGAGGGCCACACAGATTCCGAGGGTCTGGGGATTCCCCACTATGGCAGGGTGGTCAGTAGGAGTCACGTGGTTAGATCAGTGGTCACACACAGGAAGTTAGCAGGCAGGGGCCCAGAGGCCACACCTCTCACTGAGAGCCGAGCAGCACATCGAAGGGTGTCCGCAGTAAAGGAGATACAGCCTGAGTCAGCCAGACCCAGGCCACTGAGCACCAAGCTGTGAGTATGGCCTTCTGAATAAATGTGGCACTTGGGCCCTGGGTGCAGCCGGACTCCACCCTGGGCCCACTCTCCAGTCACACCCTCCTGGGACAGCTCCACCTGGAAGGTGGCACTGCCCCCCTCAATGACGGTCACATCTTCCAGAGGCCGAAGTTCCCTCAGCTGCCGTGCTGGTGTGGGGAGATGAGGAGAGAGGGAGGATGCCAGATGGAGCTCTGGGCAGGGTTCTGGGTCTCACTCACCCATTAACACTCTGCACCCCCCGCCCCCAGCCCATGCATGCAATTGAAGGTCCTAACTATAGAACTATAGAAGTTCAGACCGGGTGGGTGGGAGGAAAGGCAGACACAATTGGCTAGATTTGGTCAGGGGAGAGGTGTTAGGAAAAGGAAAACACATGAAGGTAGGGTTAAGAGTTTCGGGGGAGGTTGAGAAGCGTGGGGAGCCACACGGTGTGGGGTTCTGTGACACTGGAAGGAACAGGAAATCTGAAGCCAAACCCATTGGGATTGGAGCCTAGCTTTAACACATAATTTGTGCATGCACTGTGTGATCTTTGGCAACTGCTCTGGCTTTTTCTGGCCCTCGGTTTCCCTATCGCACTAGATAAAAGAGCAATGAAGCTCTGCGTTATACTTCGATGAACACGTATCGCCGGTGACAGCCAATCACCAAGACCTGACATTTCAGCTAACTTCCTCAAAGTCTCTAGAGTAGCGATGGACCTCATCTTTAGGAAGACTTGTTTGAGAGAGATGGCATGAGGTCACGGAGGGCTCTAGCATGGGGTGGCGGGTGAGAAGTGCTATTTGCCAGCCATTCCTTCAAAGAATAAATAGAGAGAGTCTTTTTGGAGTATAATATTTATATTGCTAGCAAAGCCATCCTGGAAGTTAGAGGTAGAAAGCAAAGTCCAGTTTGATTTCTGAGGTAACCAGAAAACATTAGAAAAAGAGGTTTTCCTTTGATCAGGGAGTCTTGAGGCCCAAACCCGATTAAGGTGGCCAGAGCAGACTTTTCCTTAGCAGAAAGGGGCACTTTGGTGTGTGTGGGGGGGTGTCTCGGGGACTCTGGGCCAGCCAGTGGGTGTGAATTAAGAGAAGACAGGGCACTCACGCCTCACACTGAGCCTGGCCAGGGTTCGATCATGGTGGCTCTCACAGCCGTAGGTACCCTGGTCGCTAAGTAGGACACCATGGATGGAGAGGCGGTGGACATGGCCATCCTGGACAGTGGTCAGGCGAGAGTCGAGGGGAAGAGGCTCCCCACCTCGTAACCAGCGAACAGCTCCAGCTGCACCCACTCGGCCCGTCTCTACCTCAAGGCACACATCCTGACCTTCCTCAGCCCGCACATCCTGCAGGCGCCTCAAGAATAGCAGCTCTGTCTCTGGAAGGGAAGAAAAAAGGAGGTCATGGAGCCCTGATCTTGAAGGCTGGTCCTGACTATCTCATTTCTAAGCCAGAATTGTGAGGGGGTTTCAGGAAATGGACATTTTATTCTCAGTAGCACTAAACCTCGGACATGGAGCCTGGCGCTTGTGTCTGTGGCTCCCACTCGTGCAGTCACGGTCCCTGTGTCTTTGAGTTGGCACCCTCGGATGATCAAAGTGTGGCTTGAACCATTCTGGACCATTTGCAGCTGGGGCCCTGGAGTGACAACAGCTCCATTGCGTAGCCAGGTGACTTGGGCGTCTGGTGGTGAAACTTCACACTGGAATGTGGCATCATCACCCTCATGGACCGTCAATGGTGTCAGTTCAGAGACGAGTTTCACTGGTGGGGGTTCTGGAAGGAGGGGTGAGGCAGTGAACTGGGTACCTCTTTCTCCCTTTCTCCTTCTCTCCTCTTCCTCATGACTCAAGCCCTCATTCTCCCACCAATTACTACAGCTTGAGTGAGATTTTACTGTGTGTTGGTCACGGAGGTTCTCCCAAAGACCAGAATGCCAATTCCTTAGTAAGCTCCCTGCAATCCCAGCCTGGCACCTCTTCCCAAGTCATTTACTATGGGCCCTGTGACAATATCTAATAGTCATAGAAACCTATCTGCTGTCCCAATTCAGAGTTGGGGCTCAGAGAAGTAAAACAATTTGGCTATGTCACACAACTCCCAGACAGCAGAGACCCCAGGTGAGTTGACTCTAGAAGCCCTGTTCTTATCTACTGGGCCATACAGCATGCTAGGGTCCTGGAAAAGGGAGTTTGCTCTCTCAGGGTGAGGTCATGCTCACACTGGTGGGGACCACAGACAGCAAGTTGGGTGAGATGTAGATGAGAAGAGCCCAGAAGGACAGGAGGTGGTCTTTGTGGGTGCCAGAAACCAACGCGTGTGAGGGGTGCACTGTTACCTTCCACACTGACGATGAAGATGCGACTGTCCTGGGGTACGTCACACAGGTATTCCCCAGCGTCCCCTCTCCGTGCCCCCCGCACCCGCAGCACCTGCCTGGCCCCGGCTTGTTCCAGCTGCACCCGCCCCTGGTCCGCCAGGCGCTCCCCGTCCTTGTACCAGCGCACAGGGCCCCCTGGCCTGGAGAAGTGTACCACCAGCTCTAGGTCCCCGCCTGGGGTGCTTCGAACCCTCGTCTGGGCTGCCTCGGGGGCCACTACCCGCACCGGGGGCTCTGTGGGGTCAGAGCTAGGGGTCACTGAGAGGGCAGTGAGGAGGACAGGGAGGCAAGCTGGGGAAACTGGGCAAGCGGACAGATGTGGTGTTTTAGGAAAGTGGGGGAGCCCTGGGTATGGGGTGCTACTAAGGCTTTCTGCCCAGGCTGTACTCACCAGCCACCTGGACATTGAAGGTGAGGCTTGGGGACTCTGGAGCTGCTCCAGCCTGGCAGGTGTAGACACCCGCATGACTTAGGTCTGCAGCCTGGATGCAGAGGATTCGGCAAGGACCCTCAGCTCTTAGCTCTAGGCCTTCGCTCTGCTGCACGGGGCTCCCATTATGGTTCCAGAACACTTGTGCACTCGCTCGGGACAGTTCACA